CTTAAGAAAACATAATATAAAACAATATTATATTCAAATATATTATATAAAAATATATTATATAAAAATATATTTTATAAAAATATATTATACAAAAATATATTATGTAAAAATATATTATATAAAAATATAATAAAACATATACAAAAAAACAAAACAAAACAAGGATATTAAAAAGAGTATTATTTTTCTATGCCTAAACCAAGCAAATTTTTTTAAGTTTATTCAAAGTGCCATAACAGAAAAAATAAGAGTTATCTAAAAAAGATGATGACATTAAAAAAATATAATGAAAAAGTTTATAATATTTTATTGTTGGAGCATTAAGAAATATAAACATTTTTATTTTAGTTATTTTTCTTATTTTTGGTCATTATTAATAAAAAAGTCAAAGTGGCAGTTTTTATTATTATGATATGAAATAAAAGGTAAGGAAAAAGAGGAGGGATCAGCTAACGTTATCTTTTATATAAATTTACACCTTATAAATTACACCTTAACATTTAAAATCATAGTTTATTATAAAAATCAAATTTTTATCTATATAAATAATAAATAGAAAAAAATAATATAAAAACAAGCCAAGATAAAGTTTTTTTTTTTTTTAATTTGGTCTTTACCCTTCATATATTTAATATATTTCCTTTTAGTTCCATTAAAAGGAAACGTAATTATACTTGCAAAAAGTTCTCCCTAAAACCGAAAGTTGTTTTTCTATTGGAAATATTTTAATCTAATTCCTTTGAAACTTACATCATTAGAAATATTAAACAACATTATAACAAATTAATGTCAGGAATTCTCTTTTTTTTTTTCGGAAAAAGCAGACGAAGCTTTAAAGATGATTTTATCAAATTTGGAAAAACAGCCCTTAAAACCCTTAAATTCTTATGCGACGATATAAAACTTTTGCTTATCAGTCATATTTAATTTCAGTGATATAATTTCTTAGTAGAGAATTTCTGTCACTGAATCTGGATATGAGAGAGTGTTGTAGCCACAACTTTAGTAGTGATTACAACCCTCTATAAATTATAACTCTGCAAAACAAAACTTGAAAAAAAAGTCGCTTCTTGGAGAAACAAGATGAGCACGGTACTATCAGGGATATAGTGGGTATTGAACGCGGAATGGCTGGCTTATGAGGCAAGCGCTTAATTAATGCACCACTACTGCATAATTATTAGGATTAAAAGGACAATAAAAGTTTAAATGTTTCATAGCAACATTACCCGCATTTGTTTTCTTTTGTAGCAGAGTGTTTAAAAGAACTCGTTAATTACAAAAGCGTGTTTGGATACTGAAAGAAATCCAGGTTTTTTAATATAAAATAACTTCAAAAAATTATTGAGAAATGCTTCTGTCTACTGTGTTTTCAGAGCGGTTGTTTAGTATTACAGGACTTAACGAGGGATCAGGACATTATTGGACAACTCTGAATTTAATTATTGAAGCATAATAATTTAATTTTGTGGTTTTTTGCAAATACATTAACATTCTATAAAGTAATAAGTTTGTTATTTGAAACACAGTTGTTTAAAATGAGGTTAAATGCAACTATGCAAGAATCTTTTCGAAAGCAACTTAAAATATTTATTGTAAATAAATCTTATATTAAAAAGGAAAATGAAATCGTAAAACAATTTAAAAGAAAAAGCTTTGCTCGAAGTTCAATATATGATAATGTAAAAAGACGTAAAACTGCTCAATATTTTTCTGATAGAAATAACCATTGTTGTCCAACATCCTTGACTAAAGAAAAGTAGGCTCAATTAAAGAGACTTATCTACAACGGAAAAAGTGTCAGCCAGAGAAAAATTGATTTTAAATTAGGTGTAAATCTATCAACAATTGGTTGTGAGTTAAAAAAACGAAAATTAAATATTGAAAACGTGAAAAGATTCTAAAATCAATTATAGAACAATAATTAAAAGCAAAAGCAAAAAAGCAGGAAAATAGTTAATCAACCCTATAGCACAAAATTGCTTCTGGTCATTAATGAAGAAAGTTACTTTTATTTTGCAGAGACAGCAGCACTGGAAAATCTAAATTTTACACAAATAACAAAAAAACATGCCCGGGAAGTGTTCGTTTTATATGGAAAGAGAAATTTCCATAAAAAAAATTTAATCTGGATAGCCATATTGGCACAGAAGTTTTCTGAGGGATATTGGCAAGCTTCAACAGAGCAAGTTTTGAATGATTGAATTAAAACTGCAACAAATCGATTGAAGTTTTTTACAATCGCTTATAAAAGGCGTCAGGCCGAAATTGAGATTATTTGTAGATGATGGTGTTTTTTCATTAAAAAATAACTTATTTTAATTTAAAGATAAATACTTTATTTAAAAAAAATATATAAGATCATTTTTATTTTCATTTATAATTAAGTTATGGACGGTTTTATTTTGTTCAATAACTTCCGCATCATCTGTTATTTGCAATCGGAAAAGAAGCCATTAAACTCTTGAGCGAGTGCAAATGCTAGATTTTTTTAAACAAAAACCTGCCCATTTTCAATTCTCATTACTAAAAGTAGGCGTTCATCTAAACACTGAATCTGTCAACCTAATTTTTTATACAGTTACTTATGACTATATTATGTGTCATTTATAAATATTAGGTTTTATACAACATGCATTCCCAGTGAGCAACGGACCAAAAAAAGACGTCTTTTGAACATTCAAAAGACGTCGAAAGCGTTCAAAAGTTGTAAAACGTCTTTTGAACGTTTACGTCAGACGCCTAAAACATGAGTAAGACGTTTAAAAGACGTACTTTTTACCTCCGTGTTCACTGGGTTCACGGTATCACAAGTATGTTGATTTTATTTTCTAAACCACATGTACCTATGAAACTGTTGCTCGTTTTTTTCACTAAGGAAGTTGGTATAAATGCTTATAAAACAATGCCTTGTTATTTACCTCTTTTTCGATTACCATTTAAAAGGTTTTAGTACTTTTAGTGTATTTAAAATAATTAAAATTCCAAAAGAATCCGCATTTCACCAAAGAACAAGAACTAAAATGAGAACTTGGGATGTTATTGATATCTTTTAAAACTAGTCTGATGACAAATTTTTTTTGAAAATAGTTTTTATTAAGTTTATTTTTTTATTAACTGTTACTACAAAAACCTTTTTTTCTTATTTTATTTTGATTAATTTCAAATGTCGCATATTAATACAATATACAATACAAAGTATAATGAAGACTTTGTAACGGAAAATTTACTTTTTTTTTCATAACAAAACTTCAATTTTTCTTATATTAAAATTTAACAAAAACTTATTTAAAGTTTATTGTTTTTGTTTTCAAAAACAAAATAAAAGTTTGATAATCTTTTTTAAAGGCGACATAAATCTTTAGTTTTTAACAAAGAGTTTTTTTAATTTACCTTTTTTGATACCTATTAATTAAATAGTTTATCTATTTACTCGTTTCGTTGGCACATCAAAAAATTATTTAGCTATAATTTTAAATATAAAATTTTTGATCACTACAATTTACCTTAATAATTTAAACTTTAATTCAAGTACTCTGATCAAAATTAGTGTCAATAAACTAGCAATATTTTGAAATTCAAAAGCAGTTTACCGGATTTAAAATAGAAAAGCAAAATTAAATTAAAATTGTTTCTGATTTTTACATTTAAAACAACAGGTAAAATTTAAGATTAAGAGTTGACATAGATAACATTCTTCATTTTAGGAGACCGTTAAAGAAAGGCAACTGTTATAAGTTGCGTATAAAAAAATCGCAGAACAAATCCTTCGCTTTGCAAAAAAAAGTTGCCACACATACTTACGAAATCGATTTATAACTAAATTTTTACCACAGATCTGATTAAAAGAAAATAATTAAAGTAAGATGTTTTGTCTTGTGCTTCAGTAAGAAAATCTATACTGTCGTGAAACAAGACAAAAGCTGAATAGAAAACATTGAGTAAATTTCTAAGGTTGTAAATTATTACAGAAAATTATGGGTTAAAAGACACGCAACATAGAATATTGTAAACAAAATTTGCAATTAGGCACAATATAGATGAGTCTTGGTTGGCAAATGGAAATGTTTTTTTTACTAGGGTTTTGGTACTTTATGATATGATCAATCAATACATATCTTCCAGCAAGAAGCACCTCCATTAAAAACAGCAGATGGTATGCACAACAGTTCAATACAAAGAGAACATACCTCTAAGCACCAAAGCAACAAATTTTTGGTAACAAACCTAGATCATCAGTTTTTAACCATATTAAACGTATTTGGTCACAAAAATGCACAAATTGTAGTCTAAATGTAACAGCCAATTTGTAGTCTAAATGTAACAGCATCTAAAATTTAAAATAAATTATGGTGATATTTTGTTCTTGTTTCAAATCATCAATTATTCAATTAGTTCATTTTGAAAAAGAACTTATGTTTTATTTTTACGCAATTTTTTTTTTGAACAAGCGCTCACCAGTGCTAATGTTCATCATGATGTGAGATATTTGTTGATTAAGACTCAGAGATTTTGCTAATACTAGAAAAAAATAATCAAACTAAAGTGAAAAGGCTATACTTTAGTGTTTTTGAACAACTGAAGCAGCTTTCTGGCTACCAGGAAAACAATATTTAGTTTAACTAAATATTCATAAATAATTATAATACATTTATTAATTATTTTAGGATTGTGAAGTGACGTTTTTAGGCCACATCAGAACCACTATTGAAAAAAAAAAAAAAAAAAAAAGATATTTAATTTAATCTTAACTATTATATATAGATTTTAAGTTCGTTCTAATCGTTTTTAATAAATTTTATTTTTTTCTAACAATTGCCTCTTTTTAACTCATGTTATTGTTTGCCCTTGTTTTCACGCTATATGTTAATTATAACAGCTTTAACATTTTATGTACTTTAATATGTTAAAATTTTTATTAGCAAAGTTAAAGTAAACATTCATAACTTTAATATTTTTATAATCTTTTCTAAAATTAATTTTTTTTTACATTCAAGGCGTTGATTTAGAAAGCATTTTGGTTGTTTCAAAAATAACCCAGCAGATAACCATTTACCATACTTTACTTAATGAAAGTTTCAACAATTACCAATCTACTATAGGTATTTTATTCTTAATCTTTAAATTTGTTATTTAGAAATATGAAAAATATTATTTTATAGTAGATATGTTTGAGCTAATTCTTTGTAATATATATTCTTATCACTTAGAGCATGTTGTATTTTATGTTTTTATATTTTAACGATTTTTGTTTCAGTGTTTTTTAAATACAAGGTCTCTTAATTTTATACTTTTGGAAGCTGGTTTTATAAAAAGAAGTAGTATCTTATAGTAATGAAACTTCTTAATAATCATTTTTTATTATGAGTACTAAAAAAAAAAGTTGTTGTTAGTAAAACTAAAATTTTTTTTTACAAAGTATCATTTTCCTGAAAATATAGTCATAAGTTCATATGCAAAGTTAATAAATCTTTGCTAAACATTGCGAGAAAAAACATTATACTTTTCACAATATAAACTAAAAAAATAGTACTTGAAAACAGATTAAAACTAGGAATACTCAAAGAATACACAGAAAAAATAAATTACTAAAACTGCAACGAACCCTGTATTGCTTTATTTTGATTTAGTTACTTTTGAGTAAACTGTTTTTCTTAAAAAAGAAATATTATTATTTTAAACAATTTATATCATTATCAGAAATTTATCAATTTTTCTGAAAAATCTAATTTAATTTTCTTAAGAACATAAGAAGCTGGTTCAAAATTCATGAATTGACTAAATCCCTGATCTAAACTCATTAAATCTATTCAAACTTTCTATAAAAGGTTTCTTATCCGGATAACCGAATACCTGTTTATCTAGATAACTGCCTTTTTTGGACTCATCAAAAGTTCATATATTTTTTTATGAAATATTTGACAATCAGGATAATATTATATAATTAAAAAAAATTGTCTCTTTCACGTTAAAATGGCGGGAAACAATTAAATCAGAGCTTAGCATTATAGTTATTTAAAACAGTAAAATTTCAATTAAAGAGCAAGACGCAATAAGCATGTAATTTTTACCCCTAGAAAATCCACTCATGTTAAAGTTCCGCTTTTTAATCAATTTATTATTAAATATCACCTCAAAATCTATTGGAATGACACGAAAAAAATTCAACAAAAAATTCTGAAAAAAATTGATAATATTTGAGAAAAATCTATTAAATAGTCCGACTAATTGAACTATTTCTTATTTCTGGCAACTTTGTTTTGTTTTAACTTGTCGCTTTAGCTTGACAAGGTTCTGACTGATTTTTATTATATTAGGAGAATAGCAAATAAATATTTTTTTCCTTAGTTAAACATTTTTTTCGTTAGTGAAATTAATTTTGAAAAAAATATTGATAATTTAAATGAAATCTGAAATAAAGAATTGAATTGAAAAAAATGGTAATATCTGTAAGAAAACACATCACAACAAATTTTCTTTTTAAAAAAAGATAATAATAATAATAATAACAAAAATTTGTAAACGATAGTTCAAACAAAACCTGGAATCACGATAACGATATTCATTTCCAGTAAACCAATTATCAGTATTTTTAATAAAAGAACAAAGAAACGTAAAAAAAAAAAAATAAAACAAATTTTAAATATGAAACAAATTAAAAATATTATACAAAAAAAGTTTAATAAAGTCTAATAATTTAATCATTATACGAATATCAAAATGATAATAAATTTACTTTAATATTTAAAAAAACTTAAAAAAAAAATGTTACTTAGAAAAAAGTTGTTATAAAATTTTACTGTAAAAAAGGTAGGGGCAAAACAATCTACCCCTAAGTTATTTTAAGGAATTTTTTATTAAATTAGCAGATAGTGATTTGTCTTATTTATATTTATAGTTTATGTTTTGTATGGTTATTCACTTAGAAATGTTTAGCTATTTTGCCCCTTACTCACTTCATTGACAAAATTCATCAAAGATTTTGAAAAAGTTTAGCTACCGTTTTTGGTACTGAACATTCGCTATTGTTTTAAAATATTTTAACTTTTATAAATTTTTTTGTTTTAGGTTTGTTTTGTCAGTACTCATCCGGAAATTATCAAGGATTTCTTTATGTTATATTATATCCATTAGTATATTATGGAGGTTTTATTAAGTTTTCATACGTTTTATATACTCGTGAAAGAGCAAACCCTGGTAAGTGTATTACTATTATTTTAACTTATCTCTTAAACAAAAGTAATTTTAGGAAGACCACAAGTAGGACAAAGAATATGTTTTTTGTCTATTGATATTTTCTTGGGGTTATTAAAATATAAAATTTATCATTATAATTTAGAGATAACAGTGAACATGAACAGTTATCTTTAAAACAAGTTAAAAATTTTATCACGCATGTTCACGTGATTATTATTTCCTTTTCATTTCTGTTCCCGTGTGATAACGAATGAGTGGAAACTCGTCTTTATAGGCTAAATATATATATATATATATATATATATATATATATATATATATATATATATATATATACATGTATATATATATATATATATATATATATATATATATATATATATATATATATATATATATATATATATATATATATATATATATATATATATATATATATATATATATATATATATAATATTACTTATTGAAATACTCTAAAGCTTAATGAAACAATTCTATTCTATCAACTGTTCTAAAACTTAGCAGCATTTAAAATATTAGATTTAAAAAAAAATTATTTTCAAAAACTTCAAGATCAGTTGCTAAAAGCCTCAATCTTTTCTTATGTTTCCTCGAAGCGTATGTTATATGTACAAACATTTCAAATAACACATAAATTCTTTCTAAAAAATCTAATTTAGAAGCGCAATCTAATTTAGAAGGTTTATCGTATTTTATTTTATGTTTTTTTTTATTGAAAATATGTTTTACAATCAACAATATTTAAGTTTTAAAAGTACATTCAATGTCACTATTTGGAACACTAAAAGTCACATTACATGTAATAGCAAAAATGTCATTTAATACCTAATAAACCCATCCTGTATTGGGCTATCTACTTTTACTGGAATAGTAAACAATTTAAGAAACCACACAAACGGACATAATTCAACAGATAGAATCGACAATCTTTCAAATGATTGCAAAAAACACCTTAAAATCAGTTGAGCCATTCTTTCAGCATTTTTTTATTCTCAAATTAAAAAACGAAAATAATTTGTTGAGCCATGAAAATTGATTTCATCAACAAAAACCTGACAACTTCAACTAATAGTTCCTTTTAAAGTAAATTTAGCAACGACAACTCATAGTTATCTACTTCTTGTAAATAGAACCGGCACATTTTACATTGACTGTTTTTTATGTTTGAATACTCCAATTTTTTTGATAGATGACGTAGAGAAATTTGTTTAGCACTTTGTTTGTCTTAATTAGTAGGTTGCTTTTTGTAGACAACTACTAGTTGAACTTGATATTTGCAGATACTAATTTTAATTTTTCATTATCATATAAACATAGTAAAAGGTTAGCTTCAGTTAAAATTGGTTTGACAGTGTAATTTACTTTTAAATTAAAAAGTAGTCACCAACGGAAAAAATTATATCAATTGTTTTATTGCCGCTGGCCTATGTAACTTTGCATTATGAAATGCTTTCGCTATTACATAAAAAAGGTAATGACACTTTTTTAACCATGTTTTAAGTTCTGCTAGACTTATTTTTTCTGTAACATTATCAGACGTAAAAATGATTAATCTTCTAGAAGGCTATACGGTATACTCTTTTTAATATGATACGGATAATAACTGTTGAACTTTAAATATTTATGAGTGCTTTGTATCTTTATAAAAAATATCTATTTTGATGTATTTGTTATTTTTTAGGATAACTAATATGTCTAGAAAAATAAGGGCATAATATATTTTTCCGTTCTTTTTGAATTTGATGTCAAAACCAATTGTAAAATTAATTGAATCATCTAATTCTGTAAGGAACATTGGAACTTAAAAATGTCTATAAATTTTTGCAATTTGTAGAAGCCATCATGAACATAATTAAAATAAAATAGTTCGATAATATTAACTTCTTGTTTTGAAAATCATTTTTTTAATATTATGGGAAAAAGCATTGTTTCTTCTAAAGAACCGATTGTAAGGCAAACATAGTCTGATGCACAATCTCTACAAACATCAATTAATACCTCCTTTTATAATAAAATAATAATGTTAACTTATAGTTACAAAACTAAAAATAAATATTTATATTATATAACATTTTACATATATCAAAATCGTGATCATAAAATTTGCAATGGTACTTCTGATAATAAATACTGTAAGGCCTCTAGTACTATTTAATATTTTCTTTGTAATATTTAATATAAAAAAATATATAAGTATTTAAATAATAATGGCTCTACCCCAGGTTCCTGGTCAATGATATTTCTCCGTTCTTTATTAGCTATTTAGGTGGACAAATTTTTCATATTTTGGCATAGATTTATTTATTTAAAATTACTAAAAAAAAGTATTGAGAAATGCAAATAACATTCTAGCATTAAAAAAAAGTGTTTATATAGGTTTTTTAAATTTTTTATTAGTTGATGAACAATGACCCTTTTAGGCAATAAAACTTAAAAATGTGTTACTTTCAATTTAAATGTCCAAAAATTTAACATCGATTCTATTAATCTTGTTTTATCTAGGACAATAACCTACCTTTACTTTTTGATAATTGAATGAACAAATGTCCAAGTTATAAAAATGAGTTGTTACTTTTTCTGGTTTAATGATATTAATCTGTTATATTTTTCCCAAAAATATATGACAAAAATAATTTCTCTAAAAAAATACATAATTAAAAAATTTATATTAAAGGGTTAGTTACCTCATCACTAAACCATGTTACTTCTTTATCATAAATACAAACTTTTTTTTAAAAAAACCAACTGTTCGTCACTATATTTTTTATTACAAACAACATAATATAAAAAAAAGCTGCATGAAAATGTATATAAACTCGTAATTATAAGTAACAAAAAGTACTAAAAGTGCTATCCTGGTATTGCAACTAAAATCAAAGATTTCGTTGCGTTTTACACAGTTGCTATATAAAATAATAAATATTTATTACACGCCTATTAAATAACCATGCTTTTGAGGGGGTGCTTAAAAGTTAAAAACATTAAGTCTTTGCCTTTTTCACAACCAATAAAACTAATAGTCAATGGCGATTTTTCTACAATCCTAATATTTAGAGAATTTTAAAAGATTTTTTTAGTTTTTCAAAGTCATGTTAATCGATATTGATGAGTTTCTGCGTGTCATTACCCCATTTTATTTGATAAAAACACACTGCAACATTTCTTTGTACTTTTGAAGTTGTTAATACTTTGAAAATACATTCTATTTTTCTTATGATCTTTGGATATTGAAACTTGTTCATAAGTTCATTTAACTAATTAAGCTACTTGATTGTAGCAGGCCCATAGGAACAAAATCTATATTTTGGGGGAGGGGGGAATGTGCAGTATTACTCCGAACCAGTTTTGAGGATCTTTTTTTTTTCAATCATTTTTCAGCCAATTTTTGTAAAAATATATTTTGGTTTGATTAAGTTTTTTTAATTACTCTCTACATTTGTGTATTGATTATGTTTAATAAGTCATGTTAAAAAGTACAACAATATTTCTTAGAGTTTCCAATTTTAATTACTTTTAATAATGAATTTTGGATGGTAACGACTTCATATACTCTAACTTCTTTTATCATTTTCTTTAACTCAATACAAACTGTTTCGATACAAACGGTTTGCTTTTAAGAGCTGTTAGAAACCATTTTAGGTTCTTCTAACACTTCAACTTCCCAGTAACTTTTAAGTCCCCAACAAAAATTTATAAGAGAATTAGCTATTATTTTGAGATTAGTTTTGGAAATGGACAAACCTCACTTGTTTGGAGATTGTGATTTGGTAGTTTACAATCCTTGAGTGACATTGTTGCCCCGATGTACTATTGCATATTTTGTACTGTAAAAACAGACTTTGCATAACCAAACTCATAGATTTTAATATTTAACGACTTTTAATATCAGTTAATTACCGATTCAATAATAAATTAGTTTTGTTTTATTGTTATAGAAGAATTGAAACCACATAGATCATTAAAGTTTTTAAAGTTTTTTAAAAATTAAATAACTTTAATTTTTAAAAAACTTTAAAAAGTTTTTAGCAAAAACTTGCTAAAATTCCATTTTCAGTTTTAGAGCATGTTTTGCTAATCAATCTATAATCTAAATGTAAAGTATATTTGCTTTTGCTTCATAACCAACCATACCTTTTTGCATAACCTTGATTCTTTTTTTGTTACTGACTTCATTTTAACTGGCTTCTGAACTATTAATTTTCAGGTCAAAAAAATTTGAATAATGTTTGTAGAACTTGTAATGTTCCTTTTTAAATAAATGAAGTTCAGTTTACTTTAATTTTTTGATAGTAAATATCAGTTCTTCAACTATTCATATTATTAAAATATATACCTTTATTAATTAAATGAGTTTTAGTATTTTAATCATGGTTATGTTTTCCATACGTCATTAAAAAGTATTTTTTTACATTCGAAAAATTCTGAACCAGTGTTATCCTTGCTATTTAGCAGAAGCATTTAAACCAATCCTTAGTTTGTTTCTTTTGAACTTTAAATTTATCACATCTTGATGAGGCTGCAGATTTATATATATATATATATATATATATATATATATATATATATATATATATATATATATATATATATATATATATATATATATATATATATATATATATATATATATATATATATATATATATATATATATATATATATATATATATATACATATATATGAATATATATATATATATATATATATATATATATATATATATACTATATATATATATATATATATATATATATATATATATACATATATATATATATATATATATATATATATATATATATATATATATATATATATATATATATATATATATATATATATATATATATATATATATATATATATATATATATATATATATATATATATATATATATATATATATATATATATAGGTACAGGGGTTTCATCATATCCTGATATTACAGGATATGATGAAAAGTGATTTTCAATGAGAACAACTTTTATATTAGAATTGAAATAAAAGGGTTCAATACTCTTAAAGATGTAACCTGATTGTCCGTAAGCATAAGGTTTATGGAAAAGACCAGCATGCCAAACTTTATTGAAACTTTATAAATGTCATAAGCGATAGCCTCAACTTTACGATCCATTACATCCAGATCGTCTTTTTGATAAAGACAACATCCTTTTAAAACTTGCTAAGCTTTTTATTGTTATATCTAATGTCAAAAGAGAGCGTTCTTTGTTGTTTCTAGGAGTTATTTTAGATAAAAATATAACGCGGAAGGAACATATACCTATTAAAAAAAAAAAAAACTCAAAAAATTTAGGCCTTTTATACAAAGCCAAACAGTTGTTAAACTAAATTTGTTTGAACTTCATTTACTTTTCTCTTGCACTAACATATCTAAAAAAACAAAGCTTTTAATAAAACAAAAGCTTGCTAGAACAATTATTGGAAATGTGGATTGCTTCTTGCACACTAAAAATCTTTTTAATAAAATCAAATACGCAGAGTATTTCAACTTAAGAAATATAATATTCTTATACTTATCCATATCCAGGTTCGAAAGAATATCCAGGTTCGAAAGAAGCTCTGGACATATTTTAGCGTCGCGAATCATGAATCGTTAATTTTCGAATGAAAGGAGGCGGAAATATCTTGGTTAATTGTACTTCCGCGTGCTCTGTTACAAGCCGTTGGGTCTTTATAGGGCAAGTAAATAACAAAAAAAATACTTATGTTCAACGTAGAAAATGAAATGGCACCCATTTTATTTTACTCATTTTTTTAAAAAAATAAATCATTTATAGTTATCAAGACTTTCATATAACAATACATTTAACCTAAAAAATACTATTCTACGATTATATATTATTAACCTAAAAATATTGTTCTTTTCTTAATCGTAAACAAAGAATCTAAATAATGGAACACGCATTTGGATAATGAGTTATTAAAATTTTATTTTTTTCCTTTATCAATTTAAAAATAAAATAAAATAAAAATTTCGATAATTACAACCAACTGGACTTTTAAAATCTTTAAATAAGAGAAATCACTTGTTTAAATACATTTTATTTATTTTATTTTTGATTTTAATCTGAATATTTAATGTTCATGTTTTATCGCATTTTATTTATTTTAAAATTTGAAATGCTAATAAATAAAAAATTGAAAAAAATATATATATAAATATATAAATATAAAGTACTTTTATATTAGCATTTATACTTGCATGTATATATATATATATATATATATATATATATATATATATATATATATATATATATATATATATATTTTGATTATTATTATTTATTTATATTATTATTACTATTTTTTTAATTATCATTCATTTATTTGTATATATGTTGAATATTTAGTTGTTCAATATACAGATGACAGTCGTAATTATTCAAAATTTAACTTTAAAAGTGAAGTTTCATTTAAAGATGGCATGTATTTTATTGAGACAAATCTGGATTATAACACTATAGAATCAAATTTCAAACCAGACAGCAGTTATTTTGTAAGATTTGATTTTATTCAATTTAAATTTGTTTTTTGTATTGTCAATGTTGGTACTATCTATTGGGTAAGATTTTTTGTAGCATTAGTTAGGGTTTATGTTTTTATACTTTGTGATCCAATTTTTTAATTTAATTGACATGTGTTTATAAACTGTTGATGTATATTTGTATCAGTTATTCTGTTTTGTGACCTATAAGTTTCATTTTTTCTTTTCTTCTAACTATTTTTGAAATATTCATCAAACTTTTTGGACCTCATAGCCAGGTAAAGATGTTAACATGTATAACATTGTTTCTTTCAAAGGATAATAATGATTAAATCATGTGACGTTTAGTTGTGGTCTCGCAAACGCCTTCTTTGTTTTTATTATGCAACTCTTTTTGTTACTTATGATTAGGTTCATAAAAAGAGTTTAATCACTCTAGAGCAAACTAACAGATACCTCACTAAAGATTACTGTGTTAGTTTTATGACCGGCTTGTAGTAAGGTTTCTAAACTTTGTTTATTTCCATTAAGTACGATTCCTTAAGCGAATGAAAATTTTAATATTACCGGTTTCATGTCATATTTCAGGGTTTTTATTAGCAGAAATATATCCATTGTTTATCTTTCATATTCAGGCTTTTAGGCGCGAGCTATTGTCGAATTTATAATAAATTAAAAATTAATAAATTTTCGAAAACCATTGAACAAAAAAAAAAAAAAGCCTCATTGTTTCTTTTACTTAATGTTCATTGTCATTAAAATGTTTTATTCAATCTAAAACTTTGTTTTTAAATACATAACAACTAGTTAACTTTCTAAATTCCAAACCCTTTTCCATTTTTTTTGTTATTATCGAAATATATTACTTAAATTTCTATAAAATTCCTTTTTCAGTCAACATTCCTGACCCAGTATTTTAAATGTATTTTATAGAATTCTTTAGATTTTTCAATCCATTTAACAAGGGTTTTTTATTTTATTTTATTTTTTTCATTCTTGAAAGAAGCATATGCTGTTTGAATTTTAAAAACTCTAAAAATCAACTCTGATAAATCTTGTTATCAACCTACAAATTTTCTTTCAACGGTCATTTATTTTTTTTAATTAATAAATTTTTATAAATTATTTTCAGTCTAACAACTTTTTCTATGACTGTTAGAACAAATTTTAGTCCTCTTTTTCTTATATTAACCTGTTTAGCAATATTAGATTATATACTTTCGGTGAAAACAGTGAGGCAATAGCTCTAATATGAATGGCTTTAAATAAATTATGTCATTCTTCATAATTTATTTAAAATCATTCATAATTTTGTACATAATTTGGTTTTCGCTTTAGGACAGCTTTATATTGTGAATCGTAGCAATCTTTCAAAACTATTGATTCATTTCTTTCTAATATAATTATTTTAAAATATAATTAAAAAAATTAATAATATAGAAGTTTAATTTAAAAAAATTATCTTTATAAAGTGTTAGTGACATCAATCTTAATATATTGGAAAAAAGTTGGTGACATCAATCTTATTATATTGGAAAAATTGTTGGTGACATCAATCTTATTATATTGGAAAATTGTTGGTGACATCAATCTTAATATATTGGAAAATTGTTGGTGAGATCAATCTTAATATATTGGAAAACGTAAAATAAAAGTATTAAGAACTTCTTTAACACAATTTTTCAAAATAGTTATATTCCCCCAATAAATAAACCAACGCAAGTAACTTGAGAAAGTTCTACATCTTTATATTAAATTATTACAAATGATTTCGTAAATATTAAAACAAGGACAGGTATACTTAAATCTAAAATTTCTGATCACGTCCCTATTTTTATTCTATTGCAAAAATGCAAAAACTATGATGTCCTTAGTGATAGAAAAAATTAATTACAACACGGTTAATAAACGACGCTTACATCAAAAAAAATTTCATAAACTTTTAACTGGTGTCAACTTAGACACCCTTCAATGAAATCAAAATGCCGATAAGGCATATAATATCTTTTTAACATTTCCGGAAGCTACTAAAGTTATAAAAACACAATCACTTTTAAACCCTTGGATTGCAAGGGGCATTTTAAATCCTCAAAAAAAAAAAGTTTATTCAACAAGTTTCGTAAAAAAAAAACTCTTAAAAATGAAACTAATTACACAAACTGTAAACAGCTTTATGAATCAGTTTTAAAACGCTCAAAGAAGTATTACTATTATTATCAATATATTATTTCAAACAGTAAATAATGACACACAAACCCAATGGTTTAAATCTTTAAATATTACTAAAACAAAATACACTTTATTCCATCGCTAAAATAATAAATCAGATATAGCCTTAGAACTTCCGCACCTTTTTATTGATAATCAGTTAATAAATAGAGAGCAGTCAATAATATTTTAGGCGTGTTTCTAGAAGAAAATGTAACCTGGAGGGAACATATAGGTGTAGTTAAAGAGAAAACCTCAAAAAATTTAGGTCTAATGTACAAAGCTAAGCATTTATAAAATCGATCTTGTTTAAAAATCATTTACTTTTCTTTTATTTATTGCTAGTTTAGTTATGCGAACATTGCTTGGTGAGGCACTAACGCGACGAAAATAAAAAAATTGCTTAGCAAACAAAAACAGGCTAAAAGATAAGTTTCAAACATAGATCGTTTCTCACACACACAAAAACTATTTAATAAACTTAATATCCTAAATGTATATAAACTAAAACTCTATGATGTACTTATTTTCATGTTCAAACTTAATAAAAATGTATTACAAATCTTATTTTATTCAATTTTTGAAAAAAAAAACACATATAACCTAGTAGATTTTCAAAATACAACTACATTCAATCTAAAACTTATTATTTCGCTACTAAATTATCTATTGTAAACCGAAAACCAAAGTTTTAGAACATAATATTAAATAATGAACTGAAAACTAACTATTCTCTAAATCAATTCAAAACAAAACTTAAGCAATTACTTTTGTTAACTGAAAGTGAAATAAATTTTTTCTAATAAAGCTTCTCTAATTTTGAAATCAATAATTAATAGTTATTTAATTAATTACTTTAAAATATTATTACATAGTTAATCAACATATTTACTTATATTTTTTTTATTTTAAATAATAATCTTCTTTTTGAGAAATTTATTTTTTATTATTTGCGTTGTTTATTAATCTTTTACTTTTATATTTTACTCTTTATTTTCATTTACCTTATACAGTGTAAATGTGTTATAAGTATAAATAAATAAGTTAAACTATAAACTGCTCTAACAATTTAATACTTTTTATATAAAAGCAAATCTTCTTATTTTTCAATCCAATTCTTAAATGTTGTTTTTGTCATTTTAATATTTTTATTAAACTTTGTTTCTTTTGTTTTACAAAACAATTCTTAAATCTTTTTTTTTAAAAACTATAAATTTAAACGACATGCGATATATTTACGTTTTCCTTTATAATATAAATCAGAGATATATACATTGAAACTATATTTTGTTGTTAAACTACATTTTGTCAAGTAATGACACGTTTTTTGGGGTATATTGATAAGTCTAAATTTGTCTTCTTCTAGCTCCGGTCACGTAAATATTTTTTTTAAGTTACGACTGTAATTTTTTTTTAAAGTCAAAAATTGTAAAAAAAAAATAAATAAAAAAAAAAAGTAATTATATTCTGTAATAAAATTGTTTTTGATAGTCAACACTCTTTTTTATTTTAAATTTCACTTTTAGAGGAGCACAAGGTTTCTTTCTAGGTCCTGTATTCTGCATCATAAGTAATAATGATCTCCTGACTTTTTTTATAGGATCTTGTTGCTGATGACACAACTATACACTCATGTTTCGATAGTTTTGGGTTTTACAGCACTTAGTAGATTAAAATCCCATAACATTCCTGTATTATTATTCTAATTTTGTTCATATATTATAATGACAAATGGAAACAAATTATCTTCTACAACTGGTCTTTTAATGATACTATTTATTTGACATTAGAATCTGCTAAAGTTTTGTCACTTAATCTTGCTTATCATATTTATCATTTAAAAGTTCATTATCCTACACTATAATTTAGTGATGTATTGGAATATTGTTTTTATATTTAAGGAGCCCATTTGAAAAACGCGCTTAGTACGAACAAACTCACTTTGAAAAAACAACGATAAACTAAACTACCCTTAGTTTATCGCGTCAGGAGAAATTAATATTTTCTTCGTCTAGTTTTAGAACCAAAAACTTTTAATTATTCAAATTTTTAAATAAATGATAAATTTCAGGATGTAGAATGTGAAAATGGAATTAACTTAAAATATATACTTTTGTGATATAACGCGTTTTACAGATGGGCTCCTCATTTGGACCTTATTTATTTTAGACTACGACATAAAACGATATTCCTGATGAGCTTTAGCTGCTGTCCAATCAAAGTAAAGTTATATCTTTTCTCCCTTAATTTAAATATTAGTATGGTTAAAATTTAATTTTGCAACATGGCTTAAATCTAAGAATAGAGTAAATTTGAAAACCCATGTAATATGTTAGTTTCCATATTATTAGCATATGTTACTAATACTAATTTGGTATTGAATACACAGCTATTCACAAAAGTTTAAATAATTTTGATCAAGTAGGTTTAGATTTTTCTTAATAAAAAAAAAGTAAAAATGATGTAGACTTTTTTTTTATTTATTAAGAAAAAAGTAAAGAAAAAGCAAGAAAAACTATTTTTTCAATCTCGGGCCGATGTAAACGGCGAATATGGTCAAAAGAAAAATTAAGATTGACTGTTGAAGGCTCTTTAAAAGTCATTTGGAGTGATGAAGTTAATTTTCAAGTTGTAAAGCTGAAGGCAACAATGTAAACGGGGCTTGGCGATAAGACAATATACGTCTTCTTCTGGCTCCGGCCATATATTATATATTTACGATCTTTCTTATTGTAAATTTTATCAAACGGCAAAGAAGAAAAAAAAAAAAAAAAAACAAAAAAAAAGCGCAAGGGAAGAATATATGTCAAAAGATTTGTAATGGAGAAATATTCAAAACAGTTTTTGCAACCACGTTGACAAAGCGATGGAGGTGCAATTGGTAATTGGGGATGTTTTTCTCACAAAGGTATTAGTATGTTTGAGCTGTACGAAGACCGAATAAATCAGTATAACTACAAAACACGTTGGAAATATGTTTAATTCCATCAATCAGACAGTTGTATGATAGAAGCAAGCAATTCATTTTTCAACAAGACGGGGCTCCAGCTCCAGGCTCAAGCTCATACAGCTAAATCAATCAAAGATTATTTTTTGAAAGAAAAACATTAATGTGATCCCTTAGCGCCCAAGATCACCAGATCGCAACCCAATTGAAAATATTTGGTCTTAGATCGATAATCAACTTACTTATCAACAAAAAATGAGCACTTAAAACAACTTTTGAATGAGTACTGGTTAAAGGCACCTCGAGAGCTGTGCATGAAATTAGTTGAACTGATGCAGAAACGAGTTTATCTTTGCTATAAAAACAAAGACGGAAATTTTAAATATTAATTTTGCTTTTTTTTTCAATTTTTTGTTTGTTTGTAAAAATTCGTTTAAACTTTTGTGTTACTCATCTTTAACATGTGTATTTTTATAATTAACTTTTTTCAAATAATATAAATAATATCATAACAAGTTCACATTTATTGTAAACCAAATACTTTTTCATTAATAAATATATAAAATTAAGTTGACATTTTTTTACTTTATTTCATTAGCAAAAAATAAAACCAACTTGATCAAAATTACAGCCTCGTGAATAGCTTTATTACAGAAATCTTTTATGCACATTTTATATTGACATAAAGTGCAGAAGTGTGGATTCGTAAAGTAAAAGTAAAGACTCCGTCTCCAGTTGTTGAAGTTTTTTGAGTACAAATCCGATTCTAACTCCGACTCCAACTCTAATTCTGACTCAACTCCAAAGCGAAATTTTCGAAAAATTCTTTGAATTCTTTAAAAAATATTACGCAATAAAATTAATTTTTTTTTTTTGACAAATATATAAAACGTTCTTTGAGGTTTAGTTTGAACATGAGGTTAGCTGCATGTTTTCAACATGCACGTACAATACCGAGAAGTTATTCTATTGGAGTCGGAGTCGCGATTATGTTTAGCGACTCCGACTCCGACTCCTCTATAAATGTTGTAACTCCGCAACTCTGACTTCTACTCCTACTCAAAGCCCTGATAAAGTTTATCAATATTTTTTTATTTAATATTAATAACTTAATTTAAATTAATTAATTGAAATAGATTTTTTAGAAGTATAGTTTTTATATAAATACATTTTTATTTTTAGGCGTATATGAAACAATTCTTTCCAATCAATGCGTCATATATTGATGTAAGTTAACTTGACATTTTGCTCTCTGCTTGGTTTTTGCTCGTTTTTTTTTTTTTAAATCGTTGTATTATTTTTCAAGGAAACAAACTATTTTAAAAAACTGCGCGTTAATATTTTGGCGTTGAAGCTGAACTTAGTAGTAGTAGTAGTAGTAGTAGTAGTAGTAGTAGTAGTAGTAGTAGTAGTAGTAGTTGTAGTAGTAGTAGTAGTAGTAGTAGTAGTAGTAGTAGTAGTAGTAGAAGTAGCAGTAGCAGTAGCAGTAGTAGTAGTAGTAGTAGTAGTAGTAGTAGTAGTAGTAGTAGTAGTAGTAGTAGTAGTAGTAGTAGTAGTAGTAGTAGTTGTAGTAGTAGTAGTAGTAGTAGTAGTAGTAGTAGTAGTAGTAGAAGTAGCAGTAGCAGTAGCAGTAGTAGTAGTAGTAGTAGTAGTAGTAGTAGTAGTAGTAGTAGTAGTAGTAGTAGTAGTAGTAGTAGTAGTAGTAGTAGTAGTAGTAGTAGTAGTAGTAGTAGCAGAAAAGTTTATAAAAGATGAATAAGATGAAAGACTTAAAGTGATCTTTGCATGGTCAAAACTATTTCAAGAAGAAAATAGAGAAACTGAACACGAGTAAGAATATGAGACATAAATTATGTTCTGTAACGCCTGCAAGATCAGTAGTATTAGACCCAAGCAATTTGATGTGATGAGCATAAATGCCACTAATTATAATAATAATTTTGGCAGAGGGGAAAAGATAGCGGGCAAGACCAATTTAATAGGAAGTTGCATTTAAAAAAATGCAGTTTTAGGAGTTAAAAAAAACGATAAAAAACAAAGAAAAAAGTGACTAAAAGGTGCTTAACGGAGGCAAATACAAGAATAATCACTCAATTCGAATCTGATTTTACAACAAGTAGGTAAACTAATACATATTTATATCCCAATCCAAGCATGTTACAATTGGAATATTTGTGCCAATTCATTCTCGTGTAACTCTTGATTTAATTAGGTCTCATCCTTTTTCTGTGACTGTTCGTAAGTGCTCTAAAAACTCTTATTCGCCTATTTATTTTTATTGAACATTAGTTCTTTGAAAATTCGCTTTCTTCATCTCGCTTTCCTGATCTTATAATTTGCAATCTTTTAAGTTGTTGTCAATTGTTATCTTGCACTACAATCTTCATCTATTCCAGTAACTTCTAGCTCTAATTAGTAGTTGCTTGCAACCTTGTTGAAAGTAAAGTTTAACGGATTTTTATCTTTAACATTTAAGCTATTTTTGTAATAATATATGTTTTAAGAGATATTGATTTATTAATAAATAGAGCGTGGTCTCCTAAGCAATGAGCTATGCAGTTGCCTTACTTCTGTTAATTAACCCTATGTTGCAATTAACACCAAAAGCATTAGAAGTAGATGAATTTTATAGAAACAAAATATGAAAAAGTCGAAACAAAGCGAAACTTAAAAATTAATATTTGTTTGATATTTTAAAACATTTTCATTAAAAGTTTTAAAAGCATCGAATAATGAAGGAAAATTTCCATGGCAATTAAAAGTTGCAAAAGTTACTCTTATTTTTAAACAAGATGTCAGAATTAATACTAGCAACTGCCGTCTCATCTTTGTTCTCTAAGTGTTTTCAAAAATTTTAGAAAGAATTATATCTAAAAATAAAAACATTTCAACAAAAATAACTTATCATACAACAAAAAAGTTGATTTTGAAAAAAATAACTCAACAGAGCATGCAATAATCTAGTTTGTGCATTTCTTTTTTAAATTTGTTTGAAAAGCTACAGTATTTGTTAGGTTTCTTTATCGACCTATCAAAAACATTCGACCTAGTAAATCATTACATTATACTTCAAAAACTAAAATATTATGGAATTAAACGTATTACGATTAAATGGTTTAAAAGCTGTTTAGCAAACAGGAAAACAGTTTGTAATTAGTAAAAATTGTTATCAAAACAATTGTTTTAATAACAATCGTTATATATATATATATATATATATATATATATATATATATATATATATATATATATATATATATATATATATATATATATATATATATATATATATATATATATATATATATATATATATATATATATATATATATATATATATATATGTATATATATATATATATATATATATATATATATATATATATATATATATATATATATATATATATATATATATATATATATATATATATATATATATATATATATATATATATATATATATATATATATATGTATATATATATATATATATATATATATTTTTTTTTTCTTTTACCTTAAAGTATATTATATAAGTTTTAACTTTTTATTATATTTTAGGTGATAAAAAACATTTTTATTTTATTAAAATTTCATGTTGTTATCTATTCGAAGTCTAAAAGTAAATACTTTTTATTGCCTGATATTTTTCTTGCAATAAGTGCTTCTGCATTTTTTAATGGAAATGAAATTCCGATGGAGCTTATACAGACACTTTTTATCAGTCTTTAATTCTATTTTAATAAAACTTACAATGTTTTGATTTTAAAAAAATTACTTACTTTCCTTTTGCTAGTTTATGTCTTAATTTACCTGACCAATATAATGTTCTTTTTTATCATTAAATTTAGTTTAATGCTTGTAAAATCTTTGTTAATGCAATCAATTATCAGTAATTAATATTTGTATTGCAAAAAAATTGTTATTTCTTTTATTAAAATATTGTAACCAGCTTCTGATGTAAAATATTTCCTAATATCTTCTGACATCTGTAAGGTAATATCTATTTCACCTGCTTTATAAGGATAATCAGTATCTTTTACAAAAATATTTTTTCTTATCTTTTCTAAAAACTCCTTGCCATGCTTAAAAATGCTATATGGTCTTATTTATAAAAACCTCATTGAAAAGAGAAGTACCAGCACAATAGTAGCTTATTTTATCATTTTCACCCTATACGAATTTGGATCGCTGGTCTTCTTTATTTTTATGTCATTTTTACAAATGACGCGTTTTAAAAGACTCCCACAATACATTGAAAATAAACCCGAAAAAGTTTTAAATGTTTCTATATTTAACACTTACTCAAAGAATATTGTTGGGGATCTGTGCGAATCCACGTAACTAGCATTGGCAACTATACATACGCCATGCTTATGTAAGTTTTAATTTTACGAGTAAATCTTGTAAGAAACCGCGCGTTTTTTTTTCCAGGTTAAAAAAAGTTTATTTTGCAGAACTACAGAACAGAATAATTGAAAATAAAATTGCTTTCGGCGATACTATACTAAATTACAAAATTTACGTTCTCGCTAATTTTTAATACGACATTGTTTAGATTTTATACTTCATGTTAATTTAATTTACTTAATATTCACGAGCGGTTCTCGATGATAAGACCTGAAGGTCTTCTGCAAGTCTCCGCGTTCTTTCTTGTTTGTATATATTTTCTTTTATTGTATCACGATTTTTTATCTTAACTATCTTATTGTATAACTATATTGAATATTCAAGAAAATAACAAAAAAAAAAAAAAAAAAAAAAAAAAAAAAAAAAAAAAAAAAAAAATTATATTGATGCGCATAAATTGTTTTTATTTTTATATATTTTTTGATTTCCGCTTTGTTTTGCTCGATCGTATAGGAGGATATCTCAGAATTGATATTAGACAATCTCTGGATTTCAGGATTAAAAAAAAGCCGGTATTGCTAACCCAAAACAAGAACCTTATTCTATTCATAAGACGATTAAATATTGTTACAAAATTATTTTTTTCTATAAAATATTTTTTCATTTTTGGATTTGCATTTTTTGCAATTGCATTTTTGGATTTGCACGTATATTGCAATGATTTATCTTGCAAAATTGAAAATGCTACAAAAAAATTTGCGTCATCAAGACAATTAAATCGAGCATGGCTATCATCAACGTTCATTTATAAAGGAACGCTGGTGCAAGATTGACGTTCAAAATCGTTTGAATTTCAATATTCTGTAATATATATATATATTTTTAGGTTTTTTTTAATGATCAGAATGAAAATAAATCGTTAGCAATTCTGGTAAGTTTTTTTTGTCTTTTATGTTACTTCTTCAATTATATTTACTGATTTTAGTAACCACTATAATGGATTAAAGTAATTTAAATCTCTTAATAGAATATATTTTTAACTCAATAAAGACTTTTGATCATTTTTTCTCTTTTTTGTATTTTACATTTTTTACAATTATAATTTCACTTATTTGGTATAATCAAGTATTTTTTTGTCAAATTTAAAACTGTTTATTAGCGTAGTTAAAAAACTAACCAAGTTTTATATTGAAAACAATAACAACTTTTAGTCGTTGTTTTATGATTAATAGTCCTTATTGACTTTTATTCGCTTATTTATTTTTTAGTAATGATGAACAATTCTTAAAAAAAGTTTTTAAATGGTTTACTATATAACAATAGATACAATGTATAGGCGTATAAAATAGACAAGAACATGTTGGCATTATAATTAATGTTTATAAGTAAAAAAAACTTCAAGATATTTGAAAAAATAGAAAGTTTTGTGGATAGATTTTATAGATATATTTTGTGGTTATCTTTAAATAAATCAGAGCACCAAGAGAAGCATTGTCATATTTTAGTGTAAAAGTATAATTTATCATGTCAGCTAACAATTAACGTTTAAAAATTGTTGTCACGACATTCATTTAGGTTCGCGTAACGTTCCGTGCTAACCTTACGTGAACCAACCATTGTGAACTCCAATTTTAATTCTTGATCTTTAAATATTACCGTTAACTGCAAACGTTTATTTAATATCTCTTAAACGTTAGCCACAAATACGCAATAACGATCTATGAAATTTAATCAAAGTTTTTCATTCAGAATTTTTTAACTAAACTTATAAATGAAAAGGTTTAGAAAAACTTATTTTTACTTAAGAGTAACTTCAACATGTTTTACAACGGAACTATGGCTTGTTAGGCTTTTTTGAGAGTCCATAATCTAATTGTTTCAATCACAAAGTGCACTATTAGATGAGCTGATTACAATTAACAAAAATTCATACTAAAAAACAATATGTCTTGTAATAAAAAAGTTTATTTATCATTACAATATAGTGCTTTAAAAGGCACTTAAAACAGTTCACATCAATTTAAGTTAATTATTTTTACAAATCAACATCAACAACAGATAAAATAAATATTTGTTGTTTCAGTTAAAATGTACAGCTTTTACAGCTGAATATAGAAAAAAATATATACATGTCTTATTTTAAACAGCACAACTTACAATACTTCGTCAAAAAAAAATTAAAAAAAATTAATTAAATTTTTTTTTATATTAAAAATTTAAACTTCTTTATTTAAAAATAAAAACACCTGCGGTTTTGACAAATAAGCTTGATTTATTTATAAGTAACTTAAATGTACCATTTATAGAATACTTAAAACTGTTATAAACTATCAATTCTATAAAAAAAACAGTTTTATACACAACCTACTAAAAATGGACACCACTAAAAACTTAAACAAATTACAAATAAATAAATATATTAATGAATATTCCTCGGGTATAAATAATTAAACGCCACTTGATGTTGTTAAAAAAGGAACCTTCTTTTACTAAATAAATAGCTTATCTATATTCAGATAGTTTCCAATTTCCATCCAAATTTCAAGCAGTTTCCAAATCAAAAAAAAAGTCTAATTTGTTTTATCGTGCATTAGATAGAGGTAAAGAGGTTATGGCTGCCGCCATTGCATTTCTAAAGCTTATGTTAAAGCTTGGCATGCTGGTCTTTTACAAAAGCTTTCTTCTTACGATGTATCTGGTAACATCTTTTAAATATTTAATCCTCCCTTTCTAATCGTAGTATAAAAACTGTCCTCAATTCTTTTTACAATCTATACTTAATATCTTCTATATAATCTCACATTTAAAATGGCATTGTTCGCTGATTGTACTCACAGTAATTCTTATTATTATAAGAAGACCAAAACTATCTGATTTCTTGGAGGAAACATTTGTAATTGAAAAGGATCTCACTTCTTTGACAGCATGGTGTTCACAATGACTAACGAACTTTAATTCAGATAAAACTCTAAAACTCAGCCATTTCTTTTCACAATAAGTTAGATCTTCTTTTATTTATGAACGGTAATGTACTCGAAAAGTCATCTACCCTATATCTTTAAGGATTAATTCTTACTTCTGGTCTTTTAAGGTTGCATCTCTTATTCAAGCTCAAGAAATTTTATTGCGGATTCTATTCTTTTTCTCTTTAAATCTCAAATCCAATCTTATATAGAATACTGTTGCCTTTTCCAGGGGTGGATCTTTTAATGGTGCTTTACTTTTTTAGACAAGGTTCAAAAACGCATTTAAACATAGTTGGACTTGCTTTTGCAACTAACTTCTAACCATTATAACATCGTCGTAATGTTGTTCTCTTTCTCTATTTTTTCTCTTTTTTTTCTCTTTTCTACAAACACTATTGTGGGAACTGCTCTAAAGAGCTAGATATTTTTGTGCTATCTACTAAAATTCATTCTCGTATTACTTGTTATTCAATTAAATCTCATCCTTTTACTGTGACTGTTCCTAAATGCTTAAAAACTTTTATTCCTCTAGTTTGTTTCTTCGAACATAAGTTCTTAGGAATTCGCTTTCATTACCTTGCTTTCCTGATTCATATAATTTTCATTTTTATAAGTCGTCAGTCAATCTTTACCTTTCTCCGCAATCTTCATCTTTTCTCTTCCAGTAACTCCTAACTAAAACAGTGGTTGTTTGCAGCTTTGTTGGAAAAGAAAATGTAAAAAAAAAAAAAAAAAAAAAAAACTTATTAGTTTTTTTAAAATTTATACTAGAAATTACTTTAAAATGCATTAAAAACGTCTGACAACTGTAAAAAAATGTTTAGAAAACGATTATATTAACTTTTGATACCTCATGTCGATTGGTATAACCAGAGTGGAAGCTGCTCCGCCATCTTAACTATCCAAAAATACATTTTTATTTGAACTAAAACAAAAAAATTAATTTGATATTCATATTTATCTTTATTTTTATTTAATAATCAACAGCATCAGAAGCCGTTTCATCTTGCTGCCATTAATAAATATCAGAATAATACTTCAAAAGAATAAAACATGTATGAAAAAGAATTTGAACACGGTTTTCTCTATCTTATTCTATTATGCAGTTTGTTATGATCTTTGGCAATTTGTTGTGATCTGAAAACGGTACGAGTTCTTGCGGCTCACCGTTTACGTTTTTAAACCTTGTCTAATCATAGCCAAAAAAATTCCGACTGCTATACAACCTTTGCCGAACATTACACTTTTTTGTTTATAGAGACTTCATTCTAAGCTACATTCAGTAATTTTATCAAAAAAGTGCAAATGGCAATTGAACTCATTCAAAGTTTTACCTCGTGTTGCGCAAACTTCGCTAATGGCGAGATAAACATTTAAATCATCTAGATATAGTTATTTGTTCTACAAATATTTTATAAAGATTTAATTTACAAACTTACACGGAGCGTGTGTACATGGAATTAAAAGTTGCAAAGAAAAAATATAATAGTTCAAATACTCTTTAGATTTACTTTTATGTTTATTAAATACACTTTATTGTTAAATATAAACACTTCAAAATATGTAACATGAAAGTTTTGTTTTTTTATTTGAAATTTTCTGATTTACTTACTCTCTAAAACTTCAACAAATTCTTAGTAATACAAATTAATAATGTTCGTTTTACTTACTAATGTGCTTATATATATCATCTTAAAAAGTATGCAAACAGCTAACAACTAACAATAATACAAAGACAACTAGTTAAAAGACAAAGACAACTAGTAAAATTAAATAGTAACACCAACAGTTGTAAAATTAAACTAATATAAGACAAATTAATAAGTAAACTAAATAAATCTTGTATTTTTAACTAAAAAATTTTTTTAATCTGGGCTAAAAAAGAATTAAAAACTATATTGAAATAATTACTAATAAATTAACAAAAAAAGAATGAACGCAAAGAACTTTTTAGACAAAATTTCTAATTTAAAATGTTTGCTAAACATCTTTAATTAGAATTTTTTTAGTTGTTCCAAAGAACTTTACGGTACTCTTAATGCGCCTATGGCAAATATTTCGCTAAAAAATTTATAAAAGGAGCTAATTGGGACTTTTGTTTACACGCAGAGAAAGAATATCGAGCTCATATTTATAAAAACCAATTATTATACATGTCCGATAACACGGCTTTCCAGTAAAGAGTGGAGCACAACCGTCAATTGAACCCATCATTTTGGAAAGGACGCAAGTCTCACTTTTTTCGAATTTCACTTTTTAATACAATTTTATTTATTCAAATGCTTTATATATTCCCTTTGAAGGAGAAATATTTTCATATGCCAAAAGTTAACATCAAATGTATATATTTAAATTTTCTTTTATAATATAAATCAGAGATATATACATTGAAACTATATTTTATTGCTAAACTATATTTTATCTAGTAATGATGCATTTTTGGGGCTTAACGATAAGACTAAATTTGTCTTCTTCTAGCCCCGGTCATGCAATTATTTTTTTTTATAAGTTACGACTGTAATTTTTTTTTTTTTTATCGGCAAAAGTGTAAATAAATAAATAAAAAAATTCAAATGAAAATTTAAATCTGTTTGAAAATGGGACAAGTTCCGGGCCTAATGGTAAAACGAAGCTCAACTGTAGTGACATCTTTCTTTATTTATATAAAAATCTCACTTTGTTTGTATAAAAATAGAATATTGTGAGCTTGCTAAAAATGTATATAGATCTAGAAAAAGAGTGTCTGGTATGTGCCTGTTATAAGAAAGAGTAGAATTTATAAACACGAAAAAATAAAAAAAGCCAAAATTGCTGGAGAAGGTTATAAAAACCATAAATGAAATGATGCGGCATCACGGCAAAGGATTCTTCTTGCAGGCTAATTTTTTGTTCTATAATATAGAGTATGGCTATATTCGTTCTAAAATTTTTGCTTATGTACTCATATTTTTTCAAATTTTTTCAAAGTGAATTTAGAGTATGGCTATATTCATAATAATATTGAGTATGGCTTTATTGGTTCTCAAATTTTTGCTTATATACTCATGTTTTACCACCAATGGTTGGAGGTGAAAACATTTTGATATATAATTATAATAAAAAAATATGCATCATCTTATTATTTGGATGAAAAACTCAATGTGAAAATTATGCACACGTTATACGCACAAGAATATCTAGATCATCCTGTCAAATATGAGTTCTTCATTAAATATTTTCAAAAAAAAAGTTATCGTTTGGTAGAAAGCAAATAGATGCCTGTGGAAGAGTTAAAAGTTAAACTAAAAAAACTACACCTTAATGACAATGCAAATAGTATATCATGCAGAAATTGAGACCCAAAAAAGACAAGCAAACAAATTTTACAAAAAAGTACAGGAAGTTGAAACTTAGTGCAAAAACAATTAAATATGTATGGGATTACATTTGATAATTATGCAAAATTTGCCACTTCCACATATTTTGTCCTGCTCCACAAACCTCAGGAAATATTTTACCTACATCAACTATGGGAGTATGAGATATTTGAGTTATTTAAAAACTGGTAAATCATTTTATTCATACTATGAAGGAGTTGCTAACAAAGGTTCCAACGAATGTGCCGCTGTGCTGGGTTAATATTTGGAATATTGGCAACGAAGTTAAAAAACTCCATATACATTTTGATGTTTATGCAGGCCAAAATAGAAATCATTCCGCGGTCTGAATAATTTTATTACTTGTAACTGAACTAGATAGCAATATAAATAAAATACAATATTACATATTAAAAAAAGGTCACTCATTTTTTCCAAAAAATAAAATATTTCAATCAGCAAAACGAGATTTACAAAAGAATGATCGGATTTACATACCAACAGAGTATAAAAATCTTATAGCTGAGACAAGCAAAAAGTTTGAAATTAAAAGGCCTAAAACTCAAGATATTATTTATGTTAAAAAATGGTGGCCAAACCATTATAAAAAAACTTGTGTTATCTGTGGATTCCTATGGAAAAGGAGTACCTAAGGACAAAAAAGTTGGGGGAGGGGCCAGTGCAATCTGGGCTTCGTTGCACTAACCCCTCCCCCTGTAGTTGTTGGCTCTGTTGTATGAAGCAAAGTTATTATACCAGATAATAATAATTGTTATTGCGGTGATTAGCTCCTGATTTAAATGTCATGCCAAAAATTTGACTCAGAATAGTAAAATAATTTGGCCGTATGTATTGACTATGGTTTAAATTCAATCATTAAAATTATGCACTCTCAAATAAGCTTGATATTGTGCAATAAGCTTGATATTGTGCAAATCAGTTGTAAAACATAACAGGTTTAAACTTTTTTAACAATTGTTAAATAAATAAAAGTTATCTTAATTAAAAAGAGCATTACATTACAACAAAACTAGAAAAGGTAGGCTTAAACAGAAAATCAATGTTTACAAAATTTGGTTCACGCTAAGTTTGCGAAAGTTGCTCGAACCTAAATGAATGTTGTGGCAACCTTTGTTAAACGGTTATTTTGAGGTGACTTTACACATTTTCCTAACACATTGAAAAAATAACGAGTTTACTGTTAGAAGTTACGGAATTACATGATAATTCAATTATAAACCATAGAAAAATATGATACAAAAAAATAAGAATTTGAAGTAAAGCTTTGTATGCATCAGTCTTTTGTTATCAGTCTTTTGCTTTTTATTATTTTCTTCAATTTTTTTTGAGACAAATAATAAAATAATAAAATCTTCTTAATATTCTCTCCCTAATATTACCTCTTTAATATTATTGTGCACAGTTCTCTGAGACTGATATTAACTCATTTTTTGTAAAAATTTATGTTTTATATAATTTGTTAGGTTTATAAAGTGGTATATTTTAGGTTAAGCTTACGTTTACCAATCTTTCCAGTGATGTGGAATCCTTTTATTGGTTCTCGTCCAATGTATCAATAAATGGTAGGAATAATAGCTTTTTAATAAAAGTCACAAATAAACATGTTTAAGTTGCTGATACATGCATGCATTCATATTATTTTTTTCCTTATTAAGGTGTCAAGAATTTCACGAGGTCATGTTTATAACCTCAGACTTTTTATTATACATATATATATATATATATATATATATATATATATATATATATATATATATATATATATATATATATATATATATATATATATTAAAATTAAATTACAAAAAGTTGCATGTCTTAACTAATGTAATTGTTCTCACATTTGTGTAATTTGCTGACACTATTTAAAAAAATGGTTACTTAAGATTTTTTTAAAAAATATATTTTCAAAGGGGGATTTAATGTTACTATTATTTAAGCTCACTTAATTTTCATAGTTTTTCAGGAGAAACTTATTTTTGTGCCTGAATTTAGAAATCATTTCTGATTTTTTGTTTAATAAATATTCTTGGTTTGCATGTGTAATTATTTCAAATTTTTCTTGTAGACATAGTATGCATTTTGTTAAACAGAAAAGTGTTGCCTTAGAAGCACTAAAGAATAACAACAAAATAATCTTTAAATCTGCTGACAAAGGAGGTTGTTCAATAATAATGGATTACTTTAGAGACAAACTTGTGTACCAAGACCACTTAAAGACTGAAACATATAAAAAACGATCAACGTGGAAACAACGTTAAAAAACCGTTGAAAATTATGGTTAAAAATTGGTTGATTTTTGGTTAAAATAGAAACACAAATCAACGTTGATAAAAAACGTTAGTTCAACGTTGAAAACAAACAAAAAATTAACGTTTTATTATCGTTGATCTAGCATTGATTCAAATAAATTATATAAAAGTTTATATACCTCAAAAACACAGCTTTTTGCGTCGTGACTCTTTTTATCCAAAAAAGCATTAATTTTTTTTACAATATTGGGTTGTTTTGATTAAGAAAAGAAACAGTATTCTTCATAAACTTATAAAACTTATAATAACTGTCATAGTTTAATATCTTATGCTATTGTACTGCACATGTTGCACTTAATTTTTAAAGCTTTTACTTATTATTATTATTAGTTTATTTTATATTATAATGCTAACTGTTCTTATAGTATTACAAATAATCTGTCCTGTACCATTTTTTTAACGCAGGTAACTAATTTATAAAAATTGAAAAGCAATTGTTGAAAGCAAATAATATAAGCAAATAAAACCAAAAAAATATTTTATACATTTTTAGAACAAAAACTTGTACAAAAATCAAGTTATTTTCAAAACGATCTTGATAAAATCATAATATCGTTATCTTCATCACCAATATCAAATTCATATGCATTTTTATCGCCTTCTGTTATCAGACACATTTTGATTTGATGCACATTTTCCACAATCCAATCAATAAAGGTGCAACATTCAAACAGTCTAATTTCTATCTATGTGCATTGTGTCTTTTTATTTAAGAACATCAGGTAACTGCATCTAAACAAAAATATCTCTAAAGTAAGGTACATTTTTACATTTTACAAGTATTATTATACTTCACATTGTTCACAAGCAAATGTAAACAATAAGTGATCAATAGTAGGTGCGCCCAATTTACTTCATTACTGACCAAGATATCAACCTATTTGGATAAATATACATTATACATCAAAATCATATATCAACGCAAATACACACACATAACAAAAACCTTTTAGGTATTTATACATCGCTTAAGGCACCCTTTTGTTTAGTAGAACCGTTTTCCCTGGTCCCCTGGAGGGTCAAAAAGTCTGTAAATAACTGTATTTATATACACATATATGCATATAAATATATATATATATATATATATATATATATATATATATATATATATATATATATATATATATATATATATATATATATATATATATATATATGTATATATATAAATATATATATATATATATATATATATATATATATATATATATATATATATATATATATATATATATATATATATATATATATATATATATATATATATATATATATATATATATATATATATATATATATATATATATATATATATATGTGATAAACAAAATCTTAATTAAGATCTGAAAAACCATATCTGAATATAACTGAGAGGTTAGGGTTAGTAGACAAATCAATCTAGATTAGTCTATATAAATGTAATTTGATATTCAACAGGTATATTGAAAAATAAAAAAATAAAAAGAAAGAAAGTTAGTAAAAAAGCTGTTTATAAACGACTTTTTTTCTAACTTACTTTTTTCTTTTTTATAAATATTTTGCTGTTCTAAAGTTAGTTTATAAGAAATCTTAGCTTTAATTTGAGCATGATGTTAGCAACTTTTAATATATTTTTCTTTTTTTATTAGTACAAACTTTTTTATAAATACTATAAATACGAAAATAAAAAGTAATTAATAGAAATAAGCAAATAAATATTTATGGAAATAATAATGAAATAAATAATAAGAAGAAGAAAGAAGAAATTTATTTAACAACTTGTCCTCTATTTAACTTGATGATTAAGATTATATCATTTAAAAAAAAAACTATTAGCAAAAAGTTGTCATAAATGGTACACTATTGACATATCCAAGACAGTTAAAATAGTTTGAATTTTTTACTCACGTACCTATTATAAATATATGTAATAATCATTTGAATATAATAGGTAATAAAAGATATAGTCTCATCACATTTTTGTTTAAACTTATACCAACCTACTGTTGTATTATATTTTTATTTTTAACGGGAAATTTCACATTACGATTCGGACAACGGACAAATTGATTCTTTATTCAACTTCATGGAACTTCATTTACTCAAACAACATTGTCTTTTGACTTTAAAAACCTAAACATACTAATTCACACTAAAATTCCATAATTATACTTAGACTTTGATTGCATTTTGACATATATATAAAAACATCTTTAAATGATTTAAATATTTATCCTAAATCCACCATTTTTAAAATGATTTTTATACAAAAATTATTGTACACACTGTAAAAAGACTTTTAAAGAACTCGTGTATAATGGCAATTCTTAAAAGTTTTTGTAAAATTATACATATTTTCATAGCAAAAAAATCTTTTAATATTTTAACTTTTATTACATTAACACATTTATTAAAAGTTTTTAAAGAACTTTCCCTCGCACAAATCTATCTGAAATATTAAAGTTTATATTAATTCCGAAATATTAGTACATTTGCGTCGGCAAAGTCTCATTTAAATCTCAACGTAATTTCAAAGTTTTCTACGTTAATTCAACGTTTGTTTTTAGTTGAAAATAAAAGTTGAAATTTCAACGATTTTTTTTTAACGTTGAACTAACGTTAAAATAACGTTGAGATTTAGATCGTTATTTTTCAACCATATATCAACCATTTCAAATATAGTAATTTACCAGGTGTAAACAATATAAATTGCTTTCAAAAACTAATAAAAAAGAATATTTTAAAGTTTACAAATCTTATTAATGATTTCTTTTAAACTGCTTTGTTTTTTCGTTTGTTTGTTTTTTTGTTTTGTCTTTTAACATTGAAAAGTTTTTGGTTTTAACACTCTTTACCTTAGTTAATTAAGTTTTGATTTTAACACTATTATAGGAATTTAATATTGTAAAAACATAATTACAACGGTTCTTAATGATAAGACTTTATGGTCTTCTGCAACTTTCCTGCTTCCTTATTTATTTTTATATAACTAACTCTTATTATTTTCTCTTTGACTTTTTATATTTATAACTGGTTTATTTTTGAAAGAATAAGTGTATCTGGTATTATATTTCGGAATTTAATTGTAACAAAAAAAGAAAATTAAATAAAAAAAATAAAAAAAAATAAAAAAAATTCGCAACGTTGAAATAACGTTGAAATAATGTTATGTGATTGCAGGGAAGTTGATAGTAACACAGATGATATATATTTTAAGAAATTTAAAAATCACGTAAATAAATTTAAAGAATGTTTAACACAAAAAGAAACTTCATTTAAAAAAAACTATGAATGGAAAACTAGCAATTTTTATGTGTTACCGAAAGTTTACAATCTAATGAAAAAGAAAATTTTATATAAGAATCAAATAAAAAATACATTGAACGTTTATGTCCAAATGATCTAAACGGAAGACCAGTAGAAGGAGGTACTTGTTCACCGACCTATTAGTGAACTTGTTAAAAAAATCTTATAATCTCTTGTACCAAAATTAACAACATATTTAAAAAATGATTGGCAATTTTTACCCTATTAGTTCTACCTAATAGTATGGAATACCAAAATACCACTTTATACAGCGTTGATATTTCTAACCTTTATACTAGTATTTCTCATGAACTAGGTTTCGAAGCATTTAAACTTTGGATTTGTAGACTGCGTGATGATACACCTAACAGATTTCCGGAAGCTTTTATTTTAGAAAACGTGAATTTTCTTATAAAGAATATCAATTTGTCTTTTAATAATGAGTTTTTCAATCAATTAATCGGAACAGCTATGGGAACAAAAATAGCTCTACCATATGCTTGTTTACTAGCAGGATATCTTGAAGAAGTTAAACTATTTCCTAAAGTTTTACCAAATTTCTTCAATAAAATTGAATGCTGAAATGTTTAAAGAAATTTCCAAAGAGACATGGATGATGGTTTTGTTGCTTTATTAAAATCAAGTAATGTTAATTTGCTGTTAAAGTGTCTTAATTCTTTACACCCCGATATCAAATATACAGAAGAACAATTCTAAATTTCATATACGAAAACCACAGAGTACCAATCTTTAGACTTTTTAGACATAACAGTTATTGTACATGTTATTGTAACATTATTGAAACAGATATTTTTTATAAACCCACAAATTCCCATGATTATCTAAATTCCAATAGCCATCACCCCAAACATACAAAAGAAAATATACCTTTAGCTAATCGAATAACTTGTTTTGTGTCCAATCCATCTAAAACGGAAATAAGACTTCAACAGCTAAAGCAA